TGACTCTGTGGTTTCTTCCCCAAACCCCAAAAACTTTAACCTTAGACTGTCTACTATTGACCTCACCCCTTTCCTAAGAGATCTGTAGGGGGCGTGCATAAGCGCACCAATGTGCCTACCGTCCCTGTCCTATTGTTTCTTTTATTTTTTTTATATGTACTCATTTCATGTATTCATAACTATGTATATACTTATACCTATTATCTTGTAAGCGATTGACAAATCAAAATAAAAAAATAAAAATTCCATTACAGTTCTATCTTATAGGCCCTATGTCCTGTCTTCAAGTTCTCTGCCTCTTTGGAAATCTTAATTCCTTCTCTGCTTGCTTTCTGTTATTTGCTAGTAAGAAAACCATTGCTTATCTTCATTGGACAAGGGCTTTGCTTTCTAATTGCAGTATCAGTGGCTCAGCCAATTTGTGATCTTATACGGTTAACAACTTGGCTAAAGTGTTGATAGCCACAACATTAAAATAATCTCTTTCTCTCTTGTAAAACATTATTTACAGTCATAGATAAATGCTTGGGGCTCGCAAGAAAGCCAGAAGAATTTGATTAGCTAGATGAAAAAGTCTATTTCACATGGAATTATGCAGTATAGCTAAGCACACAGAAGTGAACCAAAATGAATATGTTAAAGAAAAAGGACCATAGAAACCAGCTGAAATGTTTGCTTACAGAAACTTTTCCTTGCTTAAACAAACAAACAAACAAAATCAGAAAAGTAGTATGTGTAAATTAAAGTTAACTGGCAATCATCAGGGTCCGCTCTCCGCATGTAGATGATTTATTTGTAGACATCTTCAAAAGCTGAGAAACAGAGGTGCTACCAGAGATTACTCATTGAAAATGATGGGAAAGGCTTTCCTATGCTTAGGAAGATACCGAAGAAGGAATCCTGCTCTAAAACTATATTTATACCTTACTCATCCAATGGTATCCCAAAGATTACAAAAGGCATGGGTTAATTTACTTAAGCTTCTCAGGTGGACTTCGATTGCTATAATTAAAGTAATGTAATGATTAAAATAATTATGTGTCTGAAAATAATGAATCATTTAAAATTTAAACTAAGCAAAATTAATTTTAAAGAATATTAGTACATAAAAATTCATTTAATATATTTCTTCAAATTGAAACATTCTGAAATACCATATTAACTTTCTCTTATAGACTTTAGTGCAAAACAAAATGCCTTTCTGTCTTCCATTAACTTCTTAAAATTGCTTCCATTTGCAAATGAAACTGTGTCAGCTTGCTTACCAAATCCGCAAACCATATAAATTGTGACAGAAAGCATCTACTTTTTTGGCTTCCTTTGAAAAGAAGACTTGGATAGTGTCCAACATATTGTATGTCAGTTTGCTGCTTTTTATATACTTACTATCTGTATGTGGCACAGTTCCAAAAAAAGGTTATTTAACTATTCAGTAGAAGAAACCAGATACTTGAAATATACATTATTTTATAAGTGCTTTGCTTCAATTAAACTTTTAATATGACCAGAAGCCATATAGGCATTTATGAAGTGCAAAGTTATTAAGGAAAATGTGAAATAAGCAAAATGTAAAATTACAGGCCTGGGAAAAATAACACCAACAAGGCTAGTATTATATACATCTGTACATATTCATGAAGATTTTTCTTTTTAAAAAAGGGCTATAATCTGGTAAAATCTATTACTCATCTTTAGATTACATATCTGTATTCTGTATTGAATTAATACATAACTTTCAAATTTATTTAAATTGTTTAATTTAACAAAGATGACTGATAAATTTAATTATTTTCAGCTATTTGGCATTTGGCTATTTTAAAGAAGTGTTGTACTCTTTCTCCTATGTATTCCAAAAACACTGATTGTGTATCTGTGAATTTAGCTTTCCATTTCCCACCATCCACTTAGAACTGAAGAAGCTTCTTGGATAAGAAGCAAAACATCTTCAAGGAAAAACAAGAAAGTTCAGTTGCCTCTTGAAAAAGCACCTTTGAGATGACATTCTCAAATAGAAAGAAAATGAAACAAAACAGCAAATATTGGATTTAACAACTGTAAAAAATTTTTTAAAAATGCCATTCTTTTTAAAAGAACATAACACATACAGAAAAGTAAACTGTAAATACATTATTTCTGTCAATATGCTTGTTTCTCTTTGAAAAAGAATGTTCAGGAATATTATTCCATCAGTTCTTTAATCATTTGCTGTAAACATGCTTCAAAGACCAAAGAAAACCAAATTAAATTATTTTAGCTTATCAGGAGCCTCTGTGGTGCAGTGGTTAGAGTGCAGTACTCTAACCAAGCTACTGCTGCAGCCAGCTGCCTACAATTAGGCAATTGAAATCCCATCATGCTCAAGGTTGACTCATCCTTCCATCCTTCTGAGGTGGGCAGAATAAGAAGCCCAATTGTTGGGGGCAATATGCTGACGGTAAACCGCTTAGAAAGGGCTGTAAAGCACTATAAAGTGGTATATGAGTCTAAGTGCTATTGCTATTATTTTAAAGTGTTGTACTCTTTCTCCTATGCTTCTATTCTATTTTCTATTTTTATACTGTATAAACAACTAAAAATAGCATATTTCATGGATTTTTAAGCAACTATTACACTACTTTCATAATTTCAGTTAATTTCTACTATATAAATCTTGTAAATTATAAATACATGGAAAACACATGGAAATCATCCTCAAACCCCAAAGCTTGATTAATTACAAAAATCATAAAAATCATAAAATTGTAAATAATATAAATTATAAAAAGAATGACACATCTGTTGCAAAATTAAATAATGTAATAAACAAGACATTCATATGTTTATTTAAATCTTACTGAAGAATGAAATTGCACATAGTCCTTACTATGCAATAAGCTGCAATAAGAGCCAGAAACTTCATCACTAGGAGCATGATTAAGTCATATGACCCTGACATCTTATATTTGGGCTGTAGTCATTAAGTAAATCACCAAGTATTATTAAATGCAATGACATGTGACTTACTGTCAATTTCCTCATTGACTTTGCTTATCAAAAGCTGGCAGTGAAATTTGAAAATGGTGATTATATGAACAAGGAAGCAGATCCACTCAGGAAGGCTGCAAGTCAGTAACTGTTGAGCCCAAAACTGACATAAATAACCAGATAACTTTATTATCTACCACCTATAATACAAAAGTCTCCCCAGACTGCTTCTTGGGAAAAAAAGCATATAGGTTTCTATGGAACTTGGGGATTGATTTATCAGGGTTATGCCTCTTGCAGCTTCTTCAAGGACTCAAAGCTAGTTCCCCACTTGACACCCCCACCCCCCGGGATTGGTTGGATGTTTCCCAACAAATAGATTTTTATCTTTCACTGAATGAAAGATAAAATGAATGAATGAAGAGAATGAAATAGGGAATGGAATGATAAATGAACACAGTAATATTGATACTATTGGAGAAGGAAGGACATCATTTTTTGGAATGCTTATTATTGTAAACATTCTGTAACTAGCATGATACAAGGGTCCACAACCTTCAACTCAGAGGTGGGATTCAGCTGTTTCAGGCGAACTGGTTGTTAAATTTTGTGCAGTTCAGAGAACTGGCTAATTGCACCACTGGCTGGCCCCACCCACCCCTCCCAGTCATTCCTTATCTCGCCTTGCCCTAGGCTGCTCACCTAGTTATACCCATGACATAGCTGCTGCTGCTCTGGTTCCCTCACTTGCCTTGACCACGTGGTCCTGGTAAGCTTTCCTTCACCGCTTGACCTGCTGCTTCTCACATGGTCCCCACGGCCCAGCCTGCTTGCCTGCTTCCCCCGTGGCTTCCAATGTGGTTCCCGCGGCCCAGCCTGCTTGTCTGCCTTCCCTGGGATGTCCCACAGGGTCCCCATAGTCCAGCCTACTTGCCTGCCTTCCCCACGGCCTCCCATGTGGTCCCTGCAGCCTTGTCTGCTTCCTTTCCCACTGCCTTCCACATGGTGCCTGTGGCCCAACCCGCTTGACTGCCTTCCCTGCTGCCTCCCATGCAGCACTTGCAGCCCAGCCTGCTTGCCTGCCACCACTTTCTCCTCATTGCCTGCCCACCGGCAAACAATGGATGCTGCAGAGATAGGGCAATTTCCTATGTACCATTCCGAGCCCCTTTCTCCCCACATTGGGCTGACAAAATAAAAGCCCATTTAAAGATCTAGACTCCCTACTGAGTCTGCCTGGTGCATACTGGCAAAAGGAACTATGGGGAAAAAAGAGAAGGGCCAATAGAAACGCCTCATTTTCCATCTCCATTGGGTTGTCTGCACCACACTGGAGGTGGAAAATGGCACGTTTCTGTCAGCCTTTCTCTTTTTTTCCCCCCAACCTCCTTTCCAGCATGCACCAGGCAGGCTCAGCAGGCAGTCACAATCTTTAGATGGGCTTTTATTTTGTCAGCCCGAGGGGGCGGGAAGGGGCTTGGTATGGAACATAGGAAATCATTCTGTCTCTGCAGCATCAGCCCACCTGCACCCCACCTTGATGTGAGTGACATCAAGTTGGCCATGCCCACTCAGTCACATGATCCCCCCCAGCCACACTCACCCAACCAGTCACTAGGAAGAACCGGTTGTTAAATTTCTTGAATCCCACCACTGCTTCAATTAACTTTATTCTCCTTTCTGGACAATTGTATTTATTTATTTTTGAAGAAAAAAGAATATACTATAGGACTGTAAAGGCCATTTATCATTATTTTATTTATTTTTAATTAAAACTGGTAGAATCAGATGTAAATGATCCAACAACCTTGCATATCAGTATAAATGAAAATTTAATAGCAAGTTTACTTATTTTTGAGGAATTGTAGCACTGTTCCAACAGAAGGAATCTTTCAAATGAATCAGCATGTAATTCCATCTTTTATTTTTCATATACAGGGTGGCAATTCATGTTTGCACAATAGGGCAAATAATACATGGCTAAATAAGCAACTATATTTTAGTTTTTGTAGTTGTTTTCAAAGGAAAAAGCTTACTGTAATTCTTTCATCTCTATCATCCAAAGGAGATCCATCCTTTTTCCATGAAATTGTAGGTTCAGGGTGGCCTCGAGGAGGTTGGCATTCCATCACAGCTGGCTCACCTACCGCTACCATAACATCTGAAGGGTTTTGTCTGAAGTCATCTCGCAGTACTGAAAAGACAAATGGAAAGGGGAGGGGAAAATGGGAGAATAAATTAAAAATAGTTATTAATCAGCAATGTGTAAGCAACTTCAAATATTTGCAATGTAAAAGATGTAGCATTGACATTAGATTTATATTTTGAGTTGCACCAGGACTGGATTGCATTGTGGCATTACAATAAACACATAATTTATTTTAATCTCTGCAGTCCACTGCTTTTCTTACAGCAATATGGTTAAAAAAAACCCAATGGAATGCCACTTTTCTAAATGTTTTCAGTGACCACACAGTAGAGCTGGGAAATGCTGAAAAATCATTTTCTCAGAAAGTGACTCAAAACATGCAAGAGTGCTCAAAGAGCTCTTGGTTGCAAGAAAGCCACAACTTGATTCAAGAATTATGCATTTATAGCAAAAAGCTTTCATCAGAGGTAGTATGAATTTAACAGGGATTGCTTTTTAAAATATACAACTATTCAATTAAATACAAAGCACTGAAAGCCCGAATGCTATACAATATCAGGTTCAAAAAGCTCCAAAATATTGGTTAGGTACTTTGTATTATTATTACTATATATTTTTTCTCTGTAAAGTTTTAATATTTTTTCTTCTATCCAATTGTTTACAATTCTCAGAATACAATCACCTTAATTAACCAAGAAGTACAAATGAAATGCAAATAAAAATAAAATACAATCAGAATTGTATAAGAGTTCTCGCTATTTGCACTAAATTTAATGTAGTTTGTAATAAGAGTATGTTTTGTTATGGTCACTGTCATGATACTAGCTGTTTCATTGTTGTATGATAAAAATACATTAAACACCCCAAAAGTATGATGAATTTTAATTTTAAATTTATTCAAGTTTCTATTTAAGATTTCCCCCCACTTTTCTACTAAAAGGCATATCTAACCAGAATCCATAATTATAGTTATTTGTCTGAAAATTAGCATACAATTTCATTATATAGTAATAAAATTAGATTCATGTTTTTTTCCCTTCATTTCATCTTTTATTTTATTTATGAATATTCTGTTAAGACAGCATAACATACCAATAATTAGGAAAAAGAAAGACCTCACTAAGGGATACTTTTTACAATTAGGTAATATCTCCTAAATGGTTTAGGTCAGAGAACATAAAAAGGATAGATGCAACCAAATATTTTTTTCCATTTAATGTGAATTTTTTTGGTTAAAACATCACATACCAAATAACCAACAGTATGCAATTCATTCAAAATTACACTAACAAAATAACCCCCCAAAACATGTAATTATTTTTATAGTTATAAAAATATGTGTAGCATGTAATTGTAAATTTAACACACACACCCAAAAGCCATTTTTCTTTTAGTTTTTCTATCAATTCATTCTAAAATGTAAGCTGGACATACTCTAATGTTTTAAATTCATATTTAGCAAAAATTCTACCATATTTCTTAGAACTTGAAATATAAAAATCAGTATTAGTTTTCAGCGTACATAACCAGTAATCCCCCTTCATGTTCAGCCACACTGCCAGCTGGGTTGCCCTAGCTGCTGATTGTAAAATTGTGTGTGAGAGCTTATTCTTTCCTTATTTGTTTCTCTTTTTAGAACTATGATCAAGTGCCGCTTGATCCCTATATGAAAAAATTGCCCCCCCCCCAACTTTCTTTCTCTAAAGATTTTTTATTCACACAGCCTGCTGAGTTATAACTTTGATTTTAGATGTGGTTTATTGAACAAGGAAAAGCAGTTTGAATTAAATGTAATGTTAAACTATTGTTAGTAAAAACACAATGGTTAGTTTATCAAATGATGCTTATATCTCTTGCCAATTTTTTCAAGAACCAGATTTTATTTCCTCAAAATAGATGAATAAATTGTACAATTACTAAGTAATTTCTTATGTTTTCTCATTGTGATTAATGAAGATTAACAGTCCTTCCCCATTTTCTTCACATGTATCTATTTCATGTCTTGCCTTGTCTTTTTCTCTTGTTGCTAAAAGTCAAATGTTAAGACATAGCCTTTCCTCCCCAGTCTTTGTGTCTGCTAAGATAACAGAAGACAAAAGGATAAATGCCAACCAAATTCCTGAATAAATGATAAACTGCATGTAGTGTTTTAAAAGACAGGAATGAAAGTATTAGGTGCTTTACCTTTGAGAAAGAATTTTATAAATAGACTAGACAATCCCTGACCCACAGGTCATCTTTAAAGATAACTCCTTACCTAAATAAAGGAACAGAACAACCAGGATGGGCAAATCATCAGTCGGACCAGGAGCTTGTCAATTTCTCTATTGTGTTCCATTGTGGACGCTTTAAGTGATCCCCAGAATTAATCTTTCCTTCCTTCCTTCCTTCCTTCCTTCCTTCCTTCCTTCCTTCTTTCCTTCCCCTTCCCCTCCCTTCTCAGCAGACAAGTAAGGCTGCTGCAGCATGGGGAGGGAATGAAAGGAGCAAGTGGCCAGCACTCTCTCTTGAATCGACTTGGTAAAGAAAGCACAATATAATGAAGAGAATACCTGCAATGAGATACTTTTCCCTTTCATACCACATATTCTTAATTTTCACAAATTGAAGAAAGAGATGGGAAAGGCAATGTATTTTGATTTTATCGTTATACATTTGATCTTTTTTGATATTTATAAGGCACGAAGCAACATATCATTTTATGGGGAAAATGTTACACTGTATTTATCTGATCTTTATATATATAAAAAGAGAGAGAGGGGAGAGAGGGGGGAGGGAGGGAGGGAGAGAGAGAGAGAGAATTGTATGATACATTATACATGATTTGCCTTTCCTTTATAAGCACATTCTCTAGCCTCATTCTTTACAACTTGTGTTACCTCTTTTAAACCTTACAAATTACAATTGAAGAAAAAGACATCAATAATTTGTGTTAATAGAATTCAAAATAAGTAAACATTCCTTTATATCACAGCAGCTACTGCACCATACCTATTCCTGATTCATAGGATAACTCAAATTCTTCTGCTCTACAATATGGGATGAAGACATCAGTTCTCACTACAGAAAGTGGAGCATTAAATATTTTAAATATCAGTACTCACAAATGTAAATATTTCATTTGTGTCTCTCCATTTTCATGTTAGAAAATGGAGGATATGCATAACTCTTTTTCTGCTTCTGAAGAAACACTGAAGTAACTTTTTCAATGATATAAAATTTTGTGATTGAAAAAATCCAGAAGTACAATGCCACAGTAGGTTATTATAACCAACCCATCCTAATAGCATGCCAAAAATTATCCATGCATAGATGGGAAAAAAGTGGAATCTGATGCAGCACATATTAATTCCACCACTTAATAAGTGCCATATGGACTCTTTGATGTTCACCTCCTGTTTCTCTCCCATCTTTCAATTTCTGCAACTGCTCAGAGGAGAGACGTGAATCAGAAATGAAACCTTCTGACTACCTCAGTCTTTTCATTTTTTTTGTGCTTCATCAGCAGGAAAATGGGAAAGTATCTGCATACAACCACTAATGGAATCCTGTGATTTTACTCAGAATTTTCCATCATTATTTTCCATTGTTGAAAACAAGAAACCAAAAAGTAAAAAAGTAATCTTGAATGGAAACCTGCATTTTATTTCGTATTACATTTGTTAATATGGTATATATATCAAAAGAAGTGAAAAGGAAGCATTTATTATAAAAGTAAATGGCTCGTAGTACTCCCCTGCCATAGGACATACAAATGTCAGACACTGTCATGATAACATATGAAATGTCCCATAAATTTGTGAGATATATTAAGAACTCTGAACAAACTGAATGGATATAGTAGGATCACTGCTCTAAAAGCTTATTCCAGGGGTGGGATTCAAATTTTTTAACAACCGGTTCTGCGGGCTAGGTGAGTGTGGCTAGGTGGGCATGGCTAGGTAGGCATGGCTAGGTGACTGAGTGGTCATGGCTTTTTTTTGCAGCACCCCCCTGCGCTCTGTTTTTGGACCTGCTGGGCCTCATGGAAGCCTCCTGGGGGCATTTTTGCTCCCAGGAAGCTTTCCTAAGACCCAGGAAGGCAAAAATGGAGCACCAGGGGAGCACAGCTCTCTCCCGTGTGCCCCTTTTTGCCTCCTGGGCCTCAAGGAAGCCTCCTGGGCAAAGCAGTAAGACAGCGAGGGGGATCCCAGCATAGCTGATCATCGAACAGCTGATTATTGGGAGGAAAAAAAATTTACCTTAAGGAGTGACTGGGCAGGGGAGAATGCAGTCAGCGATGTCGGGCATGCGCACAATGTCACACATGTGCAATAAGGACTGACTGGGTGGGGAGGGGAGGGTGGAGAGGGGCGGGCCCAGCCAGGGACACAATTTGCCAGTTCTCCGAACTTCTCAGAATCGTAACAACCGGTTCTATAGAACCAGTCAGAAGCAGTAGAATCCCACCCCTGGTTTATTCATAAAGATTAGTCCATAAATGAAAAGTACAACTGTTATGAACCTGTTTTCTAAACCTGTCAGTGTTTAACTAAGAGTCCTTAAAGCATAATAGATGAAATTTCTGTCCATGTGAGGAAAATTGCTACTGCAGTGCTGGAATTTGCAGAATGGGGCTATGAAATGAAATGGATTAAGTAAAAAAAAAAGAAGCACAGGGAAATTTCAGGAAATGAATGTGCCATTGTGGGGATGGTCAGAAATAAACCAAAGAAATTCTGTGGGAGCCATGTGAAGGAAGCTTTTTATTTCTAGACATTTTCAAACAGTTCTTCACATGGGGATAAATGGGGCATTTAGCCAAGAGGTTTATGTTAAGAATTCTATCTATAGTAAGATTAAGGTAGGTTGGAGGAGGAAAAGGACAATTAGAGAAAGAGAATACATTGTTTTCTCATGAAGGGATGCTCCCCTGTTGCATTCTGGTTTAACACAGTAAAAACCATACATTTTTGTGGATCTTTAACGTTTGAGTTTCAGTAGTAGCATTCTGACAGTAGGTTGTGTTGGTAAGCTATTTTATTCAGACTTATAGCAGTAGCAAA